GCAGCCAATCAGGGAAGTAAATGGATGGTGTTTTCAGCTGCAGGGCCTCTGCAGATAAAACCTGCTGTTGTTAAGGGGGAAAATTACTCTTGCCTGATGCACACTGTTGTCTTTGAGCTAAGCACCCGGCCTTTGACACAGCTCTGACAGCACTGCTGATTACAGTTTGGACCCACATAGACAGGAGATAGCGAGAGCAGAGCAGGCGGCCTTTCTTTAAGTGAACTGTTAAAGTGGCAATAATCAGCCAGTCATTACAAATGCTTAGTGGGAGGATGGAGGTGGGGGGGGGGAAGAGAGAGAAAGAAAAAAGAGAAGGAAGGGGGCATCCCCCTCATTTTGCACTTGTCATCTTTAGCAATTTGCATTTAATGAACCCCTTGAATACAGCTTAAATTACATGTCAAATGAGGGACAGAGTTGGCTTACACTTGAGTGGTCCAAAAAAAAAAAAAAACAACACCCAACCCTGAAGATGAAACAATAATTACTCTGGAAATTGTCCTCCTGTAAGAGTAAGGAGGGGCTCTGAAGAATATTAGGATGTTAAGAGCTGCTTTGCTTAATCACACAAAGGCCTGTCTAGCTCAGCTGTAGTCACTTCTTGTTTCCTATTAATCTGCACTCTCCCTTCATATATGACACTTGGCCATGCTACTGAAAGAAAGAAATGTCCTTTCGGAGCTAGATTCCCACAGCCAGTGCTTTCCTGGAATTCTCTTTTTCTGGAATTCTCTCCCTGTCTGTTAGGGGGATCTAGTTTATCTTTTTCAATGCCATTGTACACTATAGGGGATTCTGGGTAAGTTACAGGACAGCTCATGTGGAACATAAGTAGACCTGCTTTATAGTGTACTTGCCTTACTGTATGATGGGTATAAAGCAGATAGTTGCAAAGCTTTGTTATAATTATTGGTCTTCAGAGGAAATTATCTAGAAGAAATGTAGGCAAACGTCCAGCCTGTTACCTCAAATCTGATGTAAACTAATGCCTAGGGCCTGGGAAAGCCAGCTGCACAGTGGTAGTACAGGCAAGTGAAATCATGTTGCGTCCCATTAATCTGATACTGGAAAGGCTTAAATATACAAATTCATAGAGATCAAGGTCTTTAACAATGAAAAAAATGAAGAGGAATGTCTTTTTGTTGCTACTATAGAATAATTTAGAGTTAACCATTTTAGATCACTTGCAAGTCATATCTCTCAACTATTTTGTCAACTTCACTATAGAGCACTGTTAAAAAATCATTATCTTAGATTAACATGTAAACAAATTTATTGACAATTCATAAAAATAGTAAGTATACCCAGTGGGCAATAAGATGAAGAATTCCGGGGCTCAAATTTATTACTTAAATAAAATACTAAGCTTGATTAGTACTTTTAATGTACAGTTAAATGCTATTTTAGAGGCCATCTAAATATATTTAAGAAGCAATACTAATTATAATTCAGTAAGGTTTGTTTCTGGCTTTGCTGATAAAAATGGATAAACATATTAAAAAAGTAAACAGATCCTAAATCTAGTAAATTACTTTAGACAGCTCAAACAAGCACAAAATATTTCAAAGGCTTCTAAATTCTGTATAGATAGCTCTCTATTTACAACTATGCATTTAGTGATCATTCAGACATATGGCAGTGCTCAAAAGAGTGACTTGCAACCAGTTCTCGCACCTATAATCATTGTGGCGTCGCCATAGTCAATGTGATCTAAATTTGAGCACTATTATGTATTTTTGACAATTCTGGGGTCATATGATTACCAAGAGCCAAGGTGGCGCAGTGGTTAAATGCAGCACTGCAGGCTACTGCTAGATCAGCAGTTCAGCGGTTCAAATCTCACCGGCTCAGGGTTGACTCAGCCTTCCATCCTTCCGAGGTGGGTAAAATGAGGACCCAGGTTGTTGGGGGCAATATGCTGACTCTCTGTAAACCGCTTAGAGAGGGCTGAAAGCCCTATGAAGCGGTATATAAGTCTACTGCTATTGCTATTGCTATTGCTATTTGTGACTTCTGACAAGCGAAAATCAGCCAAATTTGCTTAATGACTAAGTGATTCATTTAAAGACTATTATTTGCTTAACAATTCCAACAAAAAATTGAATGTGACTGACTTAATGACCACTTCACCAGGCAACAGAAGTTCCAGTTTGATGATAAATTGAGAATTACTTGTAATACATAAAATGTATCTTGATGTTCTTATGGAGAAGCCAGTTTATGCTCTGGACTGGATGACATGATAATTAAATGGCTAAAGCACCAGTCTTAGAAAGGAGGAAATCGTGAGTTCAAGACTTGCCTTAGCCAAGAAAGCCAGCTGGGTGACTTTGGGTCAGTTACTCTCTCACAGCCCAACTCATCTCACAGGGTTGCTGTTTGAGGAAAATAGACAAGGAAGATGTGGTGGATATGTTCACCGCCTCAGATTGTTTGTAAAAATAATAAATGCAGAATTCAAATAAATAATTGTGCTCAGAAGGCACAGTGGTTATTTAGAAAAGGAGAGTGATGAGAGAGAAATCCCAATTCTGTCTTGCACTCTTCAACATTTGTATTGGTGTGTTACATGAGGAGATAGATGGAATATAATATATTTATAAAAAAGAACATGGAATAGTAGTTGATACTAAAGTGAATATAAATATATTCCTTCAAAAAAGGCAAATGCCATTTTAGATTGCATCAACAGAAGCATAATTTCTAAATCAAAGGAAATAATTACACTCACTTTTTGGTTGTTGTTGGTCAAGTACTACTTCCTATTCTACGCTGTAAGTACAATTCAGACAAATTGTTTCAGATTCAGAGAAGGGCCACCTTAATGATTGGAATCTTAAAAGTCAATCTTAAAAAGAGGGATTAAAGGAGCTAAGATTATTTATCTCCGAAAAGAGAGCCCCACAGACAGTTATAGTAACAATTTTCAAATATCTGAAAGGATGTCACACAGGAGAAGATCAAGATCTTTTTTTCTTTTTAACACCAAAGGGTAGATTATTATTTTTTTTTTTACAGAAAGACATGTTGTTGGTGGTGATTAGGAAAAAAAATGTATAACAGTAAGAGGAGTGGAATCTACCGGTATTGCCAGATAAGTTGTGGATTTTTTTCATTTTATGTATTCAAACAGAGGTTGGACAATCATCTATTGAAGATGCTTTAAATCTGGAGTTTTGCAGTGATTTTAGGGTTACTGGACATTGGGCAAAAGGAGGATATCTCCTCCCTCCAGCAGACATAGCTTTAAAATAAAAAAAATATCGTTTATAATATCTTATTTTTAAATTTAGATTGTTTTCACAAAAGTAGATTTCGTGTATTGTGACTTTGTATATTGCCTCCTTCTTTCTTTCCCTCATCCATCAACTGCCTAGATTTGCATTATTTAATTTATTTCCTGATTCCAACTTCAATCCAGCGCTTTCAATCTATGATCACTAGCTGATTCTGTCAAAAGATAAATTTTTATCCAATACAACATGAAAAATTTTACCATTGAGAAATTCCAGTCACATACTGAAAATAAATATTTGTTGGAAAAATGTAAGGATTGAAAAATCAGTCTTGGATGCTGGAGTGATTTCATCTCTCATAACAGCCTATTGAAATGTTTTTGTTAGGGGAACCTCTGGAGGAAGAGATCAGCCATTAGGGGTAAAATCATTTTCTTCCATATCTATCTGTCTGTCTCTGTCTCTCTCCCTTTCCCTCCCCCCCCCTTTTGTTCTTCACTCCCCTCACTTGGAGATTATTATTTTTTGCTTTTGTAAAAAAGTAGATCCGTTTGTATGTCCTCTTCTCCATTTGTCGTCATTTCTAGTTGTGTGGGTATTCCTTTCCTTTCTGTAATGCTAAGGGAGCAGGGCATTAAGCTTGATGGCCTAAATCAACAGAGTTTTATTATTTTAAAGACAATAAAATAAAGTCGTGGGATTAATTAATTTTATTCAACCATAGATAGCTTTTTATGACACACGTATACAGCTAGTAAATTTCTTAAGGGGTGTTGTGTTCAGCCAAAAACAGAGCAAAATGTTTCATAGCTCTGTGGGAGCATCCAAATAGGACTTGCCTAATATCTACAGGTAGTCCTTGACTTATGACTGCAATTGGAACTGGAAATTGGTTGTAAGTTGAGGCATCCACATGACCAAAAATAATTTTAATATCTTTTTTTTGCTGTGATTATTAAGCAAATACCATGGGTCTTAAGCAAGTGTCACAGTCATTAAGCAAATGGTGGCAGTCGTAAGTGGGAATTTATTCATTTGAATGGGCTGTTTTCACCAAAACTGGCAAAAAAATGCTAGGAACCAGCATAAAACTGATCATGAATCACAGTCACATGATCACAATGTAACCTATTGCCAAGTGTCATGTGTCACATGACCATCGGGTGCAATCATTTACCATAGCTGGGAGTGCTACACTTACCATAACGTTCTGGTTTTGTGGGCATCATAAATGTGAATTAAGGAAACAGTTGTAAGACGAGGACAACCCATATTAGGAACACAGTATAGAGCAGGGGACCCCAATACCCAGGCTGCGGACCAGTACCAGTCGATAGCCTGCCAGTAACCAGGTTGCGCAATCGAGCAAAGCACCATTCATGCACACACAGGATCCAAGCAGCGCAAGAAACCACAATCACCCTGGTCCATGGAAAAACCTATGGAACTGGTCCCTGGCTCCCAAAAGGTTGAGGTTGTCCTAGTATAGAGCTTAGAAGCATTACTAGTAAAACCCTTTTCCACAACTGATGACTCTACAAAGAAATTGATCTCCTGTCTGCCAGTGGAGTACATACTAATGGAGGTGCAGTAGGACCACTTAAACATTCTGGGAAACTATTTAAAGTTTGAATGGACAGCTGCATCATGGAAAAGAACGACTTTGAATCTGTGATGCTTTGAAGTGTTTTAAATAACTTGAAAGGGGCTGTTTAAAAATAGTACCCAAAGCTAAGAGTCTACCTTTTTCCTCTGTTTCAGGTTTTAATAGCTGATGACTATTCTGACCCATTTGATGCCAAGAGTGAAATCAATAAAATGGGCAAAGGAGAAAACACTGGCTATATGGAGCCATATGAAGCTCAGAGGATCATGACAGGTAAGGAGGTCACAAAGAGCATTTATAGGGCTGTAGAAGCCACATTTCTATCAGTCCTATTTCCTTACAACTGACCTTTTAGTAGGGTTAGGTAAGAGCAGGATTTAAGGCTGATGCATCTTCTGTGTTTAGTGTTTATGTGAATTAAATTATTATTCTCAAACATCAATATGCTCATTTTGCTTTTCCTATTAATCTGGAGAGTTTCAGTGTATGTTTCTAACTAATACTTCCATTTTCTTCCATTCAGGAGTCTTTATTTTGCATTTGCTATGTGATGTATATGTGAATATATGCAGTCTTAATTGCTTGCTGGTTTTTAAGATGCCACAAATAGGTTCTTATTTTTTTAAGTCTAATGCAGAGAGTCTTTTCATTCGTTACAGATAATGACACTTAATGACTTGAACTTCTGTTCTTCAAATGTTAATTATCACTCTGAATAAGAAATTTATAATAAACACAATGTAAGAAAAGCCATAAGAGATGCATTGCTAATCATGATGTACATTAACAACCATGTCAGACAAGACAACAGCTGTAAATTTGTTGCCATTTTATGAGGTTTAGGCAAGTTGGCTGCACAGCTGATTTATATACAGGGCTGTAGGGCTCTTTGGTGTAAAGGAATAACCATTTCTAAAAATCCATGGTAATTGATGAGCGATTGCACTTTCCACTAAAAGATTAAAAGTACACATATTCCCCAAAGGGCAGGCATAGATTCTGGACTTATAATGTCGTGCCCCTGAGCATTAACTCCCCAGAACAAATGATTTGTTAAAAATTTATTGACCGAGACATGGCAAAGAAATTTCAATTGGATCCTTAACATCTCTAGAGCAGCACCAACCTTACCCTGTTTGGAAAATAAATTAGGATTAGCTGCCCTTCTAAAATGAGACCTTTTGCCATTACTACAAGAGGGTAAGGGTTTAGGAACAGATCAATTTCCAGGATCCCTAAAAAAATTTAAAAAAAAAGAAAAAATCCCATTTCTATTAATTCAATGGGTATTGCTCATTTTAAAAATTAAAGGGTTTGAATGGTTTTGTGTTTTATGTTGCTGTTCCAATTGCCTTAAGCAGGGATGCTTGAACCTGAGAATTCTACTTCCTTGTACATGCTCTTTTTTCTGCAGTTTTAATAGCTAACTTGATATGGGATTTACAAGTATTGTTTTGATGTGTCAGGTTGTTCTTTTCAGTAGATTCCGTGGTCTCTTGTAGCTGTCCTGTCAATATGTACATTTAGTTTGCTTAAGATGCAAAAACTGGGAAACTTCTGTTAAGCACAACATTTTATAATTAACATTGTTCATGGCAGTGTAATCAGTTCTACACTGCAGGATCATTAGAAAGGAATATTAAACAACCTAAAGAAAATATTTAGAACTGTGCTATTTTATTAAAAGCCTATTTATTCAGTTAATCTTTCATATTTGATCAAAGTGCCTGGAAGGAGAAGTGGTAAAGACACAATGGAGCTCAAGCTGCTCCATGTTTACAGATAGAAATTTCTCATGTTCTGTGGAAGATGAGACCATATGTAGACACCTATCTTGCTATCTTCTACAGTTTTCTTGAAAGGGAATGTCCCATTAAATAAAAGAGGGAACAACACAATACAACCTCACTGGCCTGTTTTTATCAAAAGTAAAAAAAAATAAAGCAAACCTGAATTCATTTATTCATGTAAAGGAAGAGCAACACTTCAGAAAGTTAGTGAATCATGATGGATTTAAAGATTTTTTTTTAAGGGATAGAACTAATATTCACATCTATAGCCCATCATGATAGTAGTAAATAAAGCCAAAAGGCAGTTTCAGATACTGCATCATTGCATATCTCCTTGGCTGATTTATATTCTTGACAGCCCTTTAATCTTATGTGCATCATTCTTCTCCATATTTGAAGACACTTCTAAAATTCCTTAGGGTTATAACAGTGGAAAGTTGAGTTGGAGCAAATTTGCTGGCTTAGATTGCATATAAATCATATTGCATAAAACACTAATTTCCAAAACATACAATATTGCCGTAAGATCTCATGATCTTTTCAACCTGCTGGTTTTTGAGATTCCTTATCAAGGTTATTTTTATATGAAAAAAAAGAAACTATTTCAATGGAACAGTTTAGAGCTTGCTTGGAGACAAATCTGTACATCACATTCACTTCACTATATGTGTTATTTGAGAGTCACACATTTAAATGGCATTTTCAGACATTTCACTTTATTACTTATTGTGCTTCTCTCTCTTTTTAATGGCCTTATTCATTAAATTTCTTAGAGGGAATGAAGAATATACATGGGTTTTCTTTCCATCCTGTGGTTACAAATAGAATTTTGATACTGGTGAAAGTTTCTCGAGTATAACCATCTCTTTTAATGTGTTTAGTTCCTATGAAGCCAACATCAGAAGCTGTAACTAGAACTTTTTTCAGTAGTTGCTTATGCCCAGTATACTTTATCTGAAGTTGTAATGTTGGAAGGAACCCCGAGAAGGGTAGCGCATTTTAGGGCAAGTATCTGTGTATATATTCTACTATATGGGAGAAGGAAATTACCTACCTACCTACCTACTCTATCTACCTGCCGACCTACCTACCTACCTACCCACCTACCTATTTATCTATCTATCTATTTATCTATTTATCTATCTATCTACAGTATATTAATTTATCTACATTATGTATGTATGTATGTATGTATGTATGTATGTATGTATGTATGTATGTATGAAAGTATCTGTCTGTCTATCTATCTATCTATCTATCCTTCCCTTTCTTCTCTCATGCAGTTAAACTTGGAACAATTGTCTGTGACACCTGTATAACAAACTATTTTTTTATTTCAGTAAAAGTAGTAACATTTAAATGCATAAAATTTTGCAAGAGAAGATTCACCCAAAACATAATTGTGTGCGCAAAGCAAGAATAAAAGCAACGTAGAAAAGGGGGAAAAAATGATGCTAATGCCTCTATTGATTTCTCTATAGCTAGACAGCCTGCTGTTTAATTATGTCACAGCAGCACTTAGGCAATGGTCTTGTTAAGATTATTTTTATTATTAGCTTGAGCAGTGGGGCAGAACAATAAAACAGATTTTTCATTTGTCTTATTGTGGCCAGCTAATCTTTAGTTAAGATGACAAAAAAAAATCTCCTTGGACTTTAGCTCTCTAAATGTGTTCAGCAATCCTATTCTTGCTAAATTTATGCTCTTTACTTTATTCCAGATTTGCTTTTAGTTTTTCCCCTGAGGATGCAAAGTTTAATGGATACAGCACTTTGAAAAGTCTTCTAATGCATTTCTCCAGCCCTGCCAACAATGGGATATTAGCTTAGATTGTGTCATGGGATCTTTGTTCAGTCTTCAGGGAGATAGAACATCCATGAAAAGGGAAGAATTACAGTCCTCTCGCTAAATGTCCAGATGTAAAATTGCTACATTTATTATTAATGAAATGCTTAAAATATGATTGGGCTTCAGTAGCCATTACACAATATGATGAATTGTGGCAGAAAATCTGTGAGCAAAACATCTCAGGAATCTGTTTAGGACTAAGCCTTTGAATATCTCTTCTTCCCAAAATATTCCTCTCTTTGGAAGTACAGAGAATAGCACCAGAAATGTTTGTAAGCATCTCAGCGTGCTTCACAAAGCAGACAGATGGATTTATTCATCTCTGTATTTGCTAGCAGAGGAATCTCCACCAGCTTCCAGGAAAGGAAATCCTTCCCAGCTAGCTGAAGTGCTGCAGTTCTTCATTTCCATAAGATCTGCAGGTAAAAGGTTATTACATTTCAGGAGAAAGGCAAATCTGGAAGCATTTTGGATTAAATTTTGATCTCAGAGGTATCTAGAATTCATAATGAGGCCCTCTCACATTGCAGCTGGGTGTCAAACACTTTTTTGTCTGTTCCGACCTTTGTATATCTCATCATCTCCTCCCATCTATATGCTCCCTAGTTGAGTTTCATGACCTGGGTGAATGCTGCCTCATCCTTATCTGTGCTAATCTGTGTAATTAATTTTCCACTGCAATTTGTTATATCTCCTCTTCTTTCCTGCTTGTAACTACATTCTGTTGCAGGACTTGTCTTGTCCTTGAGAAAGCTGCCTCGTCCTTTTAATTGCCATTTCCCCCCTTTTAAATAGCCTCTTACTGTTTGGCTTTATGTTAAAGGAGCCTGTCTTTGTAATTTGGAGCACAAGGCCGGTGTAGCAAAAAAATCCTGGTAATTTTTATGGCTTTTACAGGGTTCAGACAGTCAAATTAAATACTGTATTATTATTATTTTTTAAAAAGAAGTATATAATAAGCTGGAAAGGAGGTCAACAAAGTTTACATATGATTTTGTTTTTAGAGGAACATGTAATATGGTAATTCACAATAATTTTCTATGAATTATAGAAATATGTGAAAGCTTTGATGAACTGTTCTGATTGATATTTTTATAAGATGCAGTTCCTTAAATATTCGGAGGAACTGATGTGTTTATTTCAGTGTTTTTGGGTCAACCTTATCAAATGGGCCAGTATTATTTCTAGAATAAGAATGGTGTAAGGGAGAAGGAATCATACTTTACCTCTGAATAACTAGTGAACCTGAGACTGGATAAAACTTCAGTCAAGGAATTTGTAGTTTACTCTTCTTTAAGTATTGTATCATGCCAGTTCTCAACACTGAGAAAGTGAAGCTCCAGCCTATCTTCTGGTGTTAATAATAATTCTGGGATTTTCCCTTCAATATAGTAATTCAAACTGGAACCACTTTTGAACTGAAATCTTTATTTGCTTCCAGGTTATATCCTACAAACTTGCTATAGATCTTGTCCAGACAGGACTGGTTTCCTGTTTTTCAGGTTTGGTATGTAACACACATCCAGGAAAATTGGGGAATTTGTCTGTGAAAAGGAAGGTGCCTCCATCAAGGGCTGAGTTTAGGAATCTTGTACTTTATGGCTAGTTAAGGCTGCCCAAGACTTGATATAGTCT